CCTTGAATCCTGATGACTGTACCAACCTTGGTACCTCTGTGCTGGACTTAATGTAGGATTCAAATTCGAGAACTCTGGCCATTGCATCCTGCATAGTAGAGGAGTGTGCTTGGTTCACTTGTATCTTCAGTTGTGGACTGTCCAAGGCATCTTCAAACTGATCCCTGAGCAACAATTTGAGGAGATCGAGTTGTGCAGTTGGGTAGGCCTTGTGTGCCATACTTTCCAAGTCCTGTGCCAGCTCTTGCAGGCTCTCCCCTTTAACACGGACTCTCGTCCTAAACCTAGCCCTTTAGACTTCTGACTGAATTTGGGTTCCGTACATGAGTTCTAGAGCCGCTACCAGTGCTCTATAGTTGTGTCTGTCGTCTGCTGACAGCCATCCAAGTATTTCCAGTGGTTGTCCCTTCAAGCTCGTTGCCAGATATATTGCTTTCTGCTCCTCTGTCCATCCATTCATCTCTGCCAGTAGCTCAAATTGTGCTCTATATGATTTCCACGGTGCCTTCCCATCGAATTCCTGTGGCTTCCTTCGCACTGGATCACTCCTATCACTGACATTCATATCTGGGATGTGACTTGTAACGGGACTGAATATGTCTGCATTAGGGTTTAGCTGCGGGCTCTGTAAGGGGCTTGCCATTGTCTGGGGCTGATTAAGTCGATGGTCAATGTATCCTCCTTGTGTAAAAGTCAATAGATCGTCCTTTAACGTATCTAATTCGCTTTTAAATTTACTAATGTTTTCCATTTGTTTATTTTGCTGTTCCAGCTGCCAGTGTTGCAATTTTTCTTGCAACTGCTCTTGTCTCTCTTAATGTTTATATTCTCGTTCTTTTTGTTTCTTTTCTTTTTCCTCCAACCACTGCTGTAATCTCTCTTCTTGTTTATTTTCTCGTTCTTTTTGTTTCTTTTGCTCTTCTTGTATTGCTGCCATCAAATCTGTTAAGCTGTTGTTTGATTTGCCACTTCTCGTTTCCAATTTTTTTCTTTTTCCGTCCCACTCTCTGACACCAATTTGTTATGCCTCCGTTCGTTAGTTAACTTCCCGTATAATTTCTTTCTGATGAAACTTTAGCGACACAAGTCCTTTCTTAGATAAAACTGGTTTATTCTTTCTGAATACAACTTTGCAATACACTTAATTTCCACAGTCACGCTATAACAAACACCCATTACATTGTTGCTGTCAGTTCTTACCGGTTTATATATATAAGACTACCGCATATCTAGTAGGCTCTCGAGATTTCAGGAAGGGACGTGAATGTTCGAGAAGCGCATGACGTGATACTAGCGTCACGTGACCTCTGCTGTCGTAACATATATATTGTGATCAGGTAGGTAGTAGATGAAAAAGTTGATGTTTTAGAAACTTTTGAATTGTTATACAAGAAATGTTAGCAACGTTTTTTAGAGTTATATTAGAATATATGCTCATAACTTATCTTAACCAATACTTTGAATGGTTGGTTTTTTGCTTAGAAATTTAACAGGGTGGTTTTTTGGTACATGAATGTATTTGGAAACCTTGTCAATCCCTATTATTAAGTACTACCATAGTTAATAATAATTACCAATAAGGTCCATATGGAGCCCCATTAAATATATTTTTCAATCTATTTATGTACCCAATTTCTTGTGGCAGGTCCTTGACTGTTGGTTATAGTATCATGTATAGCATACGAGTTGGAGAAAAACAAAAATTAAAAATACCTTCAAATTAATCCTACTAATTATCTGAGGCATTAAGTGTAACTTTACTGTTTAAATTAGATAGTTTGCAATTTAAGCTAAGTTATGTGTAAAATTTATATATTGCATATTTCAGTCTTTTTGATCTCTTACTCTGTAAAATTATCATATTGTCCATTTATAAACGTTAATATTATTTCTAAATTGACAACTTATCTGATAAATGTACCCACTGGTTCATTAAATATACATGAGAATTTACAATCTCTCCTTCATTTTATTAAATTGGTTGTCTATTTATTAAATCTAAATGTTGATTTATGAAACTTGCATCACAATTTATTGATGCTAAGTTTGTTTTAATAAACTACATGTTGATTTTCTAGATATCAGTTTTTACATTCACACAACAATTTATAAGTCTGTGAGTTGATTTAATATAATGATGAAGACTCTAAATTATGTACATTTTGTAAATCAACAAGTATATTTTTTCAATTTACTTGTCAATTTGCAAATAATAATGCCATTTATAAATTGAGTATGCAGTACATAAATAGTATATATAGTTTAGGTTCAAATGGAAGGTTACACTTGGTGCCTCATAATTACAGCTGGAATCCCCTGCCTACTTTACTCTAAAGATGAGTGATTTTGTAACAATTTTTAATTTACATGTAGGGAAATGAAACATCACCAAATAAGTAACCAGTTCTAACACTTACAACTCATAACTCTAATATAAAAAAGTAATTATGTAATTTAAATCACATAGGAAAAGAGTTTTGAATGATAATAATGATACTCTTAACATCGTTTAAACATGCTTTTACTTTGCAGCAGGTATGTGTGATAACTTTTGCTTATTTTTGTCTAATTCAGTGTGTTAATTTTTATTTATTTATTTGTTGCAGCTTATGTAAGTGTTAATTTTACTTGTTTGAATACATCCATTCTTGTATTGCAATTTATTCAATGCTTTCTCATACTGCAAGTCTGAAAACTCCTGCAGGTTTATACCAAAGTGCCATAGTTTTATTTTTGTGTTTTTAATTTTTTGCTGCTCACTAAAAGAATAACTCAATAATTTAGAACTACCTATATATGTTCACAGTTGTCACAAATTTGGGCAACTAAGTCTTTCAGACATTTATCTAAGACCTCTAACATCAACCTTCATCCCTGCTTTGCGTCACATTGTTCATTAATATCAGCTTCCATCAGAAAATTTGTTTCCTGGTACGAGTACTTTCTTACAAATGTTTATTTTTCACTTACCTCACACTGGATTCTTTCAAATTTAAATCATTACAATGCTTGGTTGTTTTTATTATTCCATTTTCAATTGTGTACTTGTCAATTTTGGCCCTAATATCCTGTGAAAGTATGTCGTATTTGTGATATGTGGGCATATAATGAGTTTTCAAGTCTTTAGCTGCTAGATAATGTTTCAAAGTTTATTTTAGGCATAGTACATCACTGAAGGAAACTAATAAGTTTCTCTTATCTTGGTTATTCATAGATCTGTATGAGTCACTGAGGTTATCAAATGTACTTTCCTTTAGAGAAGGTCACTGTGATATGAACAATGCTATGAGTAGAAGTGGTTTCTTCTGATGATAAACCATATGATTGCCTGGGGTTGTGACACACCTTACTAACATGAGAAGGGTCCTCAGTCACTTGGGTGGTGCATGCTCCTTGGGAGAGAGAACTTTTTATATAATGTAATGTTTTTCCTTTGTTTGCCATATTGATATACAGAGATTTGGGTATCATTTTGCTAGATTCCTCATACATTGGTCTTGAAAAAGAGATTACATTTCAGAGATACAAATTCTTTGAGATTCTTTGTTTGCCAGACTGCTATTTTACAGGTTTGAAATTGTAATTAACACAACTTCAACTTTAGCCTAATAAAGCTAGAGGTGCATTGGTGAGAGAGCATAAGTAAAGCTCTCTGTCTTTCTCCAGCTGATTGTCTTAAGTGCCTCATAATAAAAATGTTAATTGTTTACAACCATATGTCCAGTCTTTACTTTGTAATATGGTATCTGATGAATCCCCATGTTTTTTTAAGTTCCTGCATACTACCCTGAAAGAAAACAGGGCAGTCTTCATTCGTTTCTGATCAAAATCATTACTAAGCAATAGGGGCTTCTCTTATCTTTTTAAATAATTTATAACCTACATCGTGATAAAAGTCTTTTACTGCAAGTTCAAAAAAAGACCATGAATAAGTGTGACAGCATTGACCACTTTTAAAGAGGTAACAGCTAACATTTTACCACAGTATAAATACAACAAAACCGTATATGTAAAATGTTATTTCCACTTTATGAAGTGGAATTTTCCAAATCCATAAACTGACTTTGGGGTGCTCAGTGAGTTCATTTTTTATATGTGACTATATGTTTCAGTTAATTTGGGGTTACTTTTGGATAATGTGTATGTGGTATATTGGAGATTTATTTTTAAGTTTCTAATTTGTATAAACTGTTGATATTTGCAAAATTACTATAAATTATTATTCCATTTTCACTTGCATACTTGCCAATTTTGGGAAAAGTAAGGTAAGGTGGTCCCTTTTAGTAAAACAGCCACCTCTGTATACTATGTTCCACCATAAGAGTGAATTATATGTAACTATTGTATACATGGCTCCTTATATAAACACACTGGCAGATGGATAGGAATGTGAATAATCAAAACACAACTTCAATTATTTTTGTACTACATTGATCTATGATAAGCATTTTGAATGTTGTATAGCTGAGCAGATATTTCGGGGAATTTCATTTTACTGATTTCAAACAGTGAAATATGTCATAATAAAAACACACTTAATATTCACTGATTTTTTTTTAATGTATGACTACTTTGCAATGAATGGCTTAGAGTAAGATAACCCCCACCCCACCTTGGGGCAGTCTTACCCCACATCAGTGATGAGTATTTCTGTCATAGACTTTTGTCTCAATCTGTGTTATTGCCCCAAACTAGTACCCACATTAATTTGCACAATTGTACTAGATAATGTGCAACTTCTGCATGGTGCACAAACCTTTACAGAAACATTTGAATGATGATATATTTGATTTCAGTGAAGTTACTGAATGCAGCATTTATTTTAAATTCCAGTTGTTATGAGTTAGATGGGGGCCCTTCTTATCCAACTTATAGATATAATGGCCCCAACTACAAGTGCATATTTCATTATCTAAAAATGTTCTATGTCCAATCTTTGTTTTAACTAAGTATGGCACTTGTAATAAAATGACTTATTTTAAAACCTTTTGCTTTTTAATGACATTCTTCTTAATTAGTGAAAACTACATTTGATGTTACGGTTGTGATGTATTCAGGTGAAACTCAATTATTATTAGTTCTATATCAAATAGCTCTGCTAAATAACAATAAATTCACACAAGTATCAATTATGGATTAATACTAAATCCCTTAATGACTGAGTAAGGGATAGAAGTAATGAAAAAAATTATATTCACTCAAGGGAAAGCAAGTAAGGAAGATTACATTCCCTCCTATAAAGTTGCATTTTTTCATGAATTGTTTTTTTTTATATTTAATCCATGCAATATGTTCGCTTTCATTAGTCATAACTAAAGGAATACAAATGGACCATGCATTCCCAATCAGGAAAGCCAACTAAAAAAAATGGAATTCCTCAGGAATGTGGGAAGGTAATGTTTCGATATCTGTGAGTTGATGTATAATGAAGTAAATAGACAGAACAAAAGCTTTAATAAAAAGTGAATAATGTTTATTAGAACACTAAACAAACATCACACACACACACATAGGATTATCATTTTAATTGGATCATCTTCAGAATATACTCACTAAATTGATATTCCAAACCAGAATGACCAAAAGTAACATTACTTAGCATGTAAGAAACCTAACTTTTCTACAGGATGATTAATGCTATCAAAATGACTGGTCTTTCTCATTACAACATAGGTAGGACAATAACCTCTAGATATAATTTGAATAACCACTGAAAGATATTGCTGTTGACATCCTTGCACCATGTGTCATATTGATCAATATCCTCCCTGGGCAGTAATACGTATTATACATTCCAATAACTTCAATGAAACAAAGATAACTTAGAACTAAATCAACTTAACAGATTTCTCAATTATGTTTCATGTAGAAAAGTGCACATATGCAGAACAAATAAAAATACTGTAATATTACAAGAAGAGAGAAATCCATGGCATATTAAATTACCACATGGTAGTTGTCTTACCACACCTTTCCCTAGAAATTTACAGACTTACAGTATATTTCTTGTAAGTTTTTTTTTACCTCTGTTATTACTTTATTCTGATTATATTCTTAAGTCTTTTAAATAATTTTCTTTCCAAACTGATGATTAAATAATTATTATGAAGTTTAAGTATTTTCAAAACCTAGTTCATTATACATGTTAGAAATTGTATATAAATCTGTTATACTGTTTACAGTTCCAGCACATTTTGAGATGAAAGAAAAGACAGTGACTGTGATAAGAGGAGAGAAAGCTATGCTGTTATGTGAAGCTATTGGAGATAAACCTATGGCCATTGTTTGGAAACAGAATGATCATCTTCTTAACCCAATGGCAAAAGAGAGGTAAATTATCTACTTTGTGATTCTACATAAAACTACTTGTGCAATTCAGTCTAATAATAAATTAGTTTTAATAATCATATATACTCAAAATATAATTCATTGTGATGTAGGTCATTTCATTTTACCTTAAATGTGAAAGGTACATAAATAGTGCATTAAGGTATTATTTCAAATCTAGTTTAACTCATTTTGAGCAATTAAGTAATAAATGTGAAACATTCGTAATATTAATTACTACTTTGATTTCTGTATTTAAAGCATGAATAATACATGTTCTTTCTATACATCTTTCATAGAAGTTTGGTATTATACTATTAATTAAAGAAACTTAAAACATGTTTTAATGTTAATTTTTTGAAGTAAATCCCAATTAGATCAATTAACAAGAATGTTATAATCTTCACTCTTTAAGGTATGCTCTGAATGAGAAACTAACAAGAAATGGGTTGGTGTCTGAAATTACCATTACTGATGTGCAGAGAAGTGACACTGGAAGCTTTGTCTGCCTTGTAACAAATGCTTTTGGCCAAGATTATATGAAACTGCAGTTGATTGTACAAGGTTTGATTCTCAGCCAGTAGTACATGCATAATACAGTTTGCTGTATAACTGATTTTTTTTTCTTTGTTGAAAAAAAATAGTGATTTTATAAAATACAAGGTATGAGTTACACAGTAAACAGCATTTCTAAAGGTTGTGTTTTTACTTTATCTAGAAACCATAAAGTTTTCTATGTACATATTTCAGTGCCCTTTATTACTAAAGCTTTTAAAGTTGTAAATTTTGCACGTGCTTTAAAATAATAAAAACATTGTTTTCAATGTGACTAATAGAGAATTGGGAACCTTAAGAATCCAAAGCAGTTTGTAGCAGTTATTACCAATTTTAGTAGACACTAAACTGTGTCATTTCATATATTCATAGTTGAAAAAGCAAATAAATTGAATAATTTTCAGAATTCAACTTTGGTTGCTATATTGTTAGTATGGTCTCCTTCGTTCATATAGACCATTTGTTCTGAGGTCTAACAATGATGGAAAACTACTGAGCTGTTACTGATGTATCACACTTCAATGCACATTGTTAGATACTTGAATTAATATTTCCAAAACATACTTACCTCTGCTGCCACTATTACTTATAACTATTACACAACCACCATGGTTTCAACTTTGCCTATCTAAGCATTGATCTGGTTTTTTCTCACTTCCTCCAGTCTTTTATACTCCACTCAATTGCCCTTGGCAATATTTGTCTCGTGATACTCTCCACCTACATCAATGCACCCTCTATCCTGGTACTGTATAGTATACAGTATACTTTGTATAGTATAGTACAAAGCGTTTAGACATGAGTTTCTCTACAGAAGTGCTGTGATAGTTAACATCTTTGGTATCGATTTTCGCGTCGCCTAATGGCTTTCTGTATAAATTATATTTAATAATTATTATTTAATGAAATATATTTGTGACACGCCCTTTCCAGACATGAATTCACAGGTAACTGTTTCCAGCACAGAAGATAATTCGCCCTCGTCTATTCCACCTCTGTTATCTAGCATCTCTCAAAGGGTCGGGGTGGGGAGTCACTCTCAGTTGAGGCTGTCTGTGATCTGATTTAATGTGAGATTGAGACATATATTTGGTCCAGGAGGTTCTGAAACCGCTTTCATGGATTATCTAAAACAGTCTGGAGAGAATTTGGACTCTATTTTTCTGGTGCTTTCGTTTACTAGGTCAGCTTCTCACAAGGCCAATTTGGATCAACCACTTCCTGCTCCATATCTTCAGTTGGTCAATTGTGGTTGTGAGGTTTTTGGTCTTTCTCCAGTTCCCTTTGAATCTATTCCTTGATGGCTGAAAGGTCTGAGGGTGACTACTTAGTTTTTCCTCCTTCACTGGATATTGCTGTTCATGCTGGGAGAATTACTGCTCCATAACGTGATGGGATAGCTATGCCTTATCCCCCACGTTTGTCTGAACAGCATGCTTTGGCTTACCACAGCCAGGAGGACATATATTTAGATCCTCAAAGACTTGATTTTCTTTTGGATATGTGGGGTTCCAGACTGGATCCTGTGATAACTTTGAACAGATCACAATTTTCTCGGATTCGTTTGACCCTCAATACTGTTCTGAAATATTTATCTTCCCTTCAAATTTTGTTGGAAGCCTATCAGCATTCCCACATCCATTTGAGGACTAATTGGATCCTTTGTTGACTTCTACTTTGGTAAGATTGTCAGCTTCTGCTCTTTCTTTGGTTTCCTGGTGTGTATGTTTTGGGATTTATTGGGTAGAGATGCCTTGTTGGAAGGAGTTTGTCTATCTGCTGTAGTCCTACGTGAGGCTCTTTTTCTTCACCCCCCTGATGTTCATGGGCATCCTAGAGGCATTGGAATCATGATGTCGCCTGTTTGAATTCTTCCTTGTCGTCATTGGCCTCTAGACTTTCTTTGGCTCCTGCTGGAAGTCATGGTGTGACTGCTTGTCGTGTGTCCCGACCCTTGGCTTCTGCTCCTCAATCTATTGGCACACAGAATCGTTTCTGTCCTTATCTTTGGGTCTTCTCTGTTCAAGCAGACTGTCGCCAAAAGTGTAGGTTACTACCCTATGTGGGTGGGGTCTGTGGGAGCGAGGTTAGGACATTTTCTGGACACCTCAAATTCCTTCATCACAGATCCATGGGTACTTCAGGTTCTGGCATCGGGATTAATCATTCATTTCACTTTTCCACCTCCATTATCCTCCCAACCAGTGGTATTTCCACTACCAACAGATCCACGAAGTGTAGATCTTCATTCCCAGGCTATCAGTGAGTTATTGGTCGAGGGGTGTGGTAGAGAGAGTTGATCCTATTCTTGTGGAATTTTATTCCCGTTTATTTGTTGTACCTATGAAGACGGGAGATTGACGGCTGACCAATAATCTTTCTCGTTTCAACCACTTCTCAGATCCTCCCAGGTTCACAATGGAGTTCTTTCGTAACCTATGTTGACATTTTTCACCAGGTCTGTGGATGGCCAAGTTCGTTGTTGCCGATGCATATCTCCACTTTCCCATAGCAAAGTCATATCACTGCTATCTACGTTTCATGCACGAGGGTCAGGCTCTGCTGTTCAGGGCTCTGCCCTTTGGCCTAGCATCTGCACCATATATTCAGAGTTGTACAAGCTTTTTCTCGCCACCTTTATGCTTTGGGCCTATGCACACACCATTATTGGGATGGCTGGTTACTTCTGGCACCATCTTGTCAGTTGGCGGAACAACACACCCAGATTCTCCTTTCAGAAGCCACCAGGGCTGGCTTTCCTATCAAGAGCCAAGAAATCCATTCTCTTGCTGACTGTATATACTGTGCATCTGGGTGTCTTTTTCAACATGTTTTTAAGCCGGGATCAGCCGACACCCATCCAGCTCCAGGCTATGGAATGGGCAGTTAGGCTTTTACTCATGTCTTCTTCCCTTACTATGTGTATGGCTCTCTCTCTTTTGGGGATGTGGGCATCCCTCAAATCTCTGATTCGTTTGGAACAAGCACACATGCAGTCCCTTCAGTGGTCACTGTATGACCAATGGATCATTAACTACAATCCACTGGATCATCCAGTCTCCTTAATCAGGAGCAACATCTTAGATCTCGAGTGCTGGTTGGATCAGACCAACACTACCATCAGTGTTCTTATACCGCCCCCTCATCCCGAGATTCATCTCCTCACAGATGCCTCACTTCAGGGATGGGGTGTGTATATCGATGGTCAGGAATTCCAGGGTCTATGGATGGAAGATGAATCTTCCTTCCACATCAGTATTTTAGAACTTCTTGCTGTCCAATGGACAATAGTTCAAGGTCTCAATCTATTGAAGAGGAAAATCATCATGATTCCTTCTAACAATTCTACAGTGGTCTCTTACATTTCCCGTGAAGGGGGCATGCATTCTTGGGACTTTTGTTTTTAAGCTTTGGATATTCTCTACTGGGCTCACTCCCATCATATCAGCCTCCTTTTAGAGGTGCTAGAGCTATTGTAAATGTTTTTTAGAACATTGCAATATTATTAATATAGTAAGACATTTGTCATATGACAAATTCAAAAGATTAAACACACATCATACTGATTGTAAGCTACAATATATATTTATCTCTTGCAATTCTCAAAACTATTAACACCTACCACGTAGTACTCTCACTGTATTGCACTCTGGAACTGTCCATAGTTTACACAACCCACTCCTGTAAAAAAAAACAAAACAAATAAACTTTTATTTTTGAGTTACAAAAATTAATGCTTTCTTAACCACAACAGTAATAATTTTTGATCTTATAAGCACAAGAATATAGGAACAGGAACATTTTAGATCTTCAATGAGTGTTGTTCCCAAAGACGTGAGCAGAAAAACTTGGATAAAAGATATCTAACAATAAATTTAAATGTCTAAATGAAAATTTTCTATTTTTATTTTGTATGGTGTTTCAGGCAGGTGCCCTTCATCAGGCAGTAAAGACTATGTTACAATCCTCGCAATGTAGCATCCATTTGGTTGGGAAAATTCGGTTGAGCCGAGACAGATGATCTGCTATTAAATTCATCACCCCTAGAACATGGCAAGCCAACAATTTTTTTCATTTTAGAGGTTTTTGTAAAATGTTGAGGATTTTTATGGAGAAACATTCAACTGCCAGAGGCAGATTGTACCCTATATGGCAAATCAGCAGTTAATGGGTTAATAAAATATGCTTACTACATCAAGACTACAAATCTTCCTTATCTAATAAGACCAGAGTAGTTACCATCTATGAAGATGTAGATTCTTATGATGATGACATAATTTGGTGGTTTTTCGAAACTATGAAACTACAAGTTATTTACAACAGGTTACAGTTGATATCACCATCAGCTTTACATTCCAAAGTGGCTGGAGGCCACACTCGCATTCAACTGCCAGAGGCAGATTGTACCCTATATGGCAAATCAGCAGTTAATGGGTTAATAAAATATGCTTACTACATCAAGACTACAAATCTTCCTTATCTAATGCCACACTCAGTTTACAGTTAATGGGTTAACATGTTATTACCATCAAGTACTCTGTTTCAAAGTATCCTTATTGCTGTTAGATGAGTGTCGGTCAGCTTGTTGATGAAAGTTTTCTCCAAATGGCCATACATTTATTCTATTTTTTATAGTAATAAGAAAACGTTTGTATAATATGATGTAAATTGATCACGTACTTTGTTACACTGTATCATTATATGTTTCTGGCAAACTTTCAATATGTATAACAAGAACTTGGATATTGAAAGTTAATGTTAATTTGTTTCTTTCCGATACAGTACATTACCTTCTCTCACAGATATAGCTATTCTTGTTCAGTACTGCCCTTTATATGGGAAAAAAGTTTTTTGCATACTACAAGCCTTGAACTCCCATGTTCCTCAAGATCATTGTGGTTCAACTGTGTATCACATGCAAATTATCATGAGGCAACCCTCCACCAATAGGAGTGTGACACATCCTCCCAACACATGTGACTCCTTCTTTTTGATTCTACCAAATTATC